GTAACATAGGATGATATGTGGGCATTGTGTGGAACTATACCCGAGTGGAAAGAGAGACAACTGAGAGAGAATACTGAGGAGATGATCGTTAGCGACAAGTGAAAATCTCACTTTGTCACTATTTACCGACTTCTCCCGCGGCTCAAACTCAGCGATGCGGAGTTTGGTTCAGTCAGAATGGACTTCGCTCTCTTGCTGAATCAAATGTATAGTGGTTTTAGGAAAAATCAATGAAATTATAGAAAGATAGGGGTGTAGAGGTCCCACACTGTCTCACGCGGTAGCATCGCACGGACTATGTCATATAAATTATGTCATGAGGCGTGTTTGAGTTATAGTTATTAGTTCGTGCAGGAGCTGGTACTATGGGACAGGGAATTGAAGTACAAGATGGACTTCATATAATTAGTGGTCATAAATGGAGTGACATTTCCTGTCTATCAAGGAAAATCTTATTCCGTTAATGGCGGTATGATCGCTTTGACCAAAATGGTCACAAGTTGTTGACTTGTTGTATTCACACGGGTCTAATTGTCTAGAAAAGAGTTCTGTTGAGCGGGGACGCTCAAATTTATGAAAAGGGGAGATGATAAGCCGGACAAATGGCTGGCCGTGAAATTTATCAATTTCATAGGTCAAGTCAACGTTTCAGTATTCTATATTGATTATGTTGGCGTTATCTCAGACGAGAGCTATTGTGAGACTCGAACAGTTAGCTAAGGGCTAAAGCGTGTAGAGAACGGTGTCTCAGTTGAACCAACTTGATTCCGGTAAGGTTTCAATGTTAAAACAGCAAAAGGCACTTATATCTAGAAGTTCGTTCAACCATCCGTATGGATTGGGGCCAACTCGCATGCTCCTATCAAGAGTGTATTATTCTGAATCCATCTAGACTACAACTGGGGCACAATGAATGGTAGAGCTAAATACATTAGGGCCAAAGAGAGGTCAGTTGAGGGTTGAGTACGTGGGGTCCAAGAGGATGCCGAGAGTTGGTATCCCTGGATGGGGCATAACGTACAACCGGGATGGATTCCCGGTGTGCCGTTGTTCGACAATCCAATTCGGGCGATATAAGTCGCTTGGACCAGGGTTTAGGGCGCGGGGCGGTTGTCACTAAAAATGGCAACACAAGTGTATGGTCCATCAGCAGGTGGCTGTAGTTGGGCAAGGGGTTTCTAAGCTTATCTCTTCACGACTGAATGGTTTCCATCACTGGAAGCCGGAAGCGTGATATAGCAGCCGAAATCGTGATGTGGGAGCCATTTGGGCGTGATATTTCCTTTTAACTGAGTTATTTAAAGCACATTGTCTCCATTAGCGCAACATATCACGGAGAAGTCTTGTCTCCGAGTTCCGTTTATCCGTATTACTAACAGAGCGCATGTGTATCAATTTCCTTATTAGTGTTTCGAGAGCAGTATATAAAGCCTGTAGGTTTCGAGTGTAGGGCCAGTGAATCCCCCCCTTCTTGGTTAGACGAAAGGCTTATGCTTGACGTCGTTTCTTAGAAGTTTGGTATTCATTCGGAACGTCACTGGAAGCTATTTAGTTTCTATTGTTTGTTTCATTTGCAATATATTGGTTGTTTGATTTAAGTTTTGGCTACAGAACGCGTGAAATATAACGGAACGGTTACACGGAACGCGAGATATTGAGAGAACTTGAGTAAAACAAGCCTTGGGAAAAGTGTCTAACAAAGTTACACTTGTCTCTACAAGTATTGTCTTTGGAATAACAGTAGGATTGAGTGGTATATCGCGTAACAGCGGTTCAGTGGGAGTTCTACCATAAAGAACAGTGTAACGAACGGCTTCTTGAGCTACTAGACCGCGTATAGCGACTAGAACAGCATCAGACACCACCTTCGCACCTGTAGAGATTGTTGGAACTTACATAGTAAATACTCAAATTGCCACAACGTATACTGCGTTGGAACCCCGAACCTCGCACGTCGATTGTATCGTTTGTTGTAGTGTTTTGTGTGTTTTATTGGATTTAGTGTTCGCACTTTATTCAGTATTTCATTCATATTTTCACGCCCAGCGACATAGTCAGCGTTTCAACGGGCGACGCACTCCGGCGTGTTGATAGATCCTCTCCCTCCCACCGCCTGAAACCCCTCTACACCTCGGACCTTCCACGCGGTACATCGGCCACCATCTCGCAGCTACGAGCGGGCCCCTCGCACTTGAATGCATACCGCTTCAAGTCAGGATTCATCGCCTCCCCGGCGTGCGACGCCTGCGGAGCTGCCCGTGAGACCAGATCCCATTACCTCCTGGAATGCCCCATCCTCGAACCCCTCCGTCCACCACTGCACGCTGCGTTCAAAGCTGCCGGGATGTACGGCCCACTCCATGTTGGCCCTCTCCTCAACGACCCGAAGCTACTGAAAGCGACCGCGAAGTTTGTGGAGGCCTCGGGCCGCTTCGCCTAGCTGAGTCCCTTTCTACTTTATCTTCTCTTTTTCTCTGTATCAGTCTCATCTCGCTCCCCCTCTCATATATACTTTACTTACTCTTAATTCACACCACACAACCCCACGACACCTCTCACGCACCATCCCGTTCCTCAATAAACCGTTGCGTCTCATACAACACCAATTTTCCCGTTTCATGATTTATCTCTTACTCTAATAGTCTTATTAAAACCGTAGCTTTACCTCCCCATCCCGATACTCACAAACCCCATCCTCGCACTGCTACCATAGCCCATCCTGGGCCGCATGTAGTAACAAATTGACTTAATAATAATAATAAAAATAATAACCAAGATCATTGCTGTGAAAATCCAAGAAAAAGTGTGCTTCGGCCTGTGTGTGTTGCGTCGATTTTACCGATAAAACGTAGAAATTCCCACACATGGCTCGGGCCCGAGTCGAACTGGCTTGTCCTGCATACAGATTACTCGCCATTGCATGGAGTGCAGGTGTGGACTCCCCACCATCGAGCCTTGCATCACCTCGTCAAGACTGTCAATGTGTCCATATAGAAAATCGAGGATTGAGAGACCGAAGGCATCTCCAAACTCGTTCAGTCATGTGCGAGGTAAAGGTCTGAACCATGGTTGAAATTTTGCAAATATGGGTGGTACAGCCTTTGGATCTCGCAGATGACAAATTTAGGGAGAGAAAAAAACCTACATTTCAGGATATGGCTCGGGCCCGAGTCGAAGGGGCTACGCAACTAGAAACCTCGGCTTCCATTACAATGAGTGTAGGTGTACCACCGAGCCGATATATTTCCAAGTTGTGACCTCGAGTATGATTGACAAATATGGCGTGTTGTACCAGTCCCAAAATCCACGACTCGTTCGGTAACGTATGACATAAAGGTTTGAACTATGGTTTAAATTTCCAAGATTGGAGTGACAGTTGAGTTACCCATCTCACAGATTAGAAATTGTGTGAGAGAGAGATAAAAAGCTGGGGCATTACGATCGCACGGCTCAGGCCCGAATCGAACGAGCTCTCCTCCAGAATCCTAGCCTGCCCCATAATGAGTGGAGGCGTGGACCTTCCACCACCGAGCCGATATCCCTCTACTTTCCATCTTGATATAGGTTCCTGGGCGCAGTCCAAAAAATCCACGACTTGATTCGGTGCCAAGTAAGCTGCAACCATGGTTGAAATATGAAGATGCCAGGGTAATGCGCAGATAAAAGGAAACCAGCGCAGCGAGCCGACATCTTTCAGCTTGTGTCCTCAAATATACTTGGCAAATGCCAATTGTGGAATCAGTCCCAAATCCTCGAACTGGTTCGGTGAGAATTAGAGTTGCTGCCATGGTTGAAATTCTGAGGAGGCGGCACCTCATTGACAGCTGCAATTTGCTCATCTCACACATCAGAAATTGAGAGGGAGAACAAAAAAAAACGAATCGCTTCCAACTCATGGCTCGGGCCCGAGTCGAACAGGCTCTCCTGCATAGATGTCCCAGATAGCGGCATGGAGTGCAAGTGTGCACCGTCCATCACCGAGCCGATATGTTTCCACTTGTTCTTTAAATATGTTTGAAACATGCCAGGTATTGAATCAGTCCAAAAAATCCACAACCTGGTTCGGTAAGAAGTGAAGTTGCTGCCATGGTTGAAATTCTGAGGAGATAATATTGACAGCTGCAATAATTGCTCATCTCACACATCAGAAATTGAGAGAGCGCCCCCCAAAAAATGAGACTTTCCGCTATATGGCTCAGGCCCGAATCGAACAGGCTCTCCTACAGACAATCCGAGGCCTTTATCAATCATAGATTGCAGGTGTGGACCATCCACCACCGAGCCTTCTCAGCCGACTTGTCAGCTTGAATGTATGCAAATAAATTTAAACTAAAAAATGACTTCGTTGCTGTCCAGCTTGTGCGGAGCCTTGAGCGGTCCCAGGTGAGCTCGCACAAAAATGAACGCACAAACTTGCAAGGTCAGAATGCAGTAGTTACCACACAGAGAGGGGAAAGAAAAATAGAATTTCTACACCATGGCTCAAGCCCGAATCGAACGGGTTCTCCTACAAATTCTGGTCTTCTTTAACATGTATAGGTGTGGTCCATTCACCACCAAGCATTTCTCATCCTACTTATCAGCTTCAATGTAACTTATGCAGGAATATCGAGAATTTTTGAGCTGGTTCAATTCCTTCACAGGGTTCGTTGAAATAACTTATCGTATTAGTAGGTTGCATCATCATTTGTGTTTAAGGACCAAAAAGTTCACAAATTTGATTTGCATGTACATGGCTCGGGCTCGAATCGAACGGGTTTTCCTACACAGCATCATTCAAGTCGCAGCGTGGAGTGCAGGTGTGGACCATCCACCACCGAGCCTTCCTCCACCTACTTTTAACCTTGACTTTATTCTTCCAAAAATCGTCATTGGTGTGTATCCCTACGCACATCACGGTACACTCAAATCACCAATAAGCGCTTAAAAGTATCGAGCGCACCACGGGCAGTAGAGACGAGCAGGATAATAACCCCCCAAAAAATAAGGGTACATTAACATGGCTCGTGCCTGATTCGAACAGACGATTTCCGCAAACAGTGGACGATGGGCCAAAAGAAGCAGATGCATTACCACTCTGCCACCGAGCCGTGACGGAAAAATGGTAGTGACATGGGAATCCGAAGCTGTCGTTCGGGATACTTCCTGAACCTGTGCGGTGTGATGCTACCTACCGACTTACTGGGAGAACCAAATAATGAACAGAATAAGGCACTAGTGAACAGATGGAGCATCGAGGAACGGGGGAATGCGAGGGAAATCCCCATGGAACACAAAAAGTGAGAAGCCAAAAAGCAACAATAGAAAATGTTCATGGCTCGGGCCTGGTTCGAACAGGCAATCTCCGCAGAAGCAATCTTCGTATACCTCTAAAAGCAGCGGACGCATTACCACTCTGCCACCGAGCCATGATGAAAGAAGACAGTGACATGGGAATATGAAGCAATAGGGGAGAAGTGTTATTCCGGGAGAGAATGAATTCAATCAAAAGAATAACGCATTAGTGAATGGATGCAGCTGCAGGCATCGAGCGACATGGTATGGGAGGGAAGGAAATTTAAACCGAACAAAAAGTGTTGGCAGACCGATGCAAAACATAGGGGATTATGCATGGCTCGAGCCTGGTTCGAACAGGCGACCTCCGCAGAAACCATAAGGCTCTTCCAGTCTAAAAGACGCGGATGCATTACCACTCTGCCATCGAGCCATTGACAACTTGAAGGAGATTAGCTAAAGGCTAAAGCCGAAGCCGATGCCGAAACCGACAAGCCCGAAACGAGACAGGGGCTCTTAAAAATCACGTCACAGACACAACTTCTCAAGACTCCAAGTCCAGAAGTTCTCCTTCAAGCACCTCAACATCTTTGCAATTCAAGATCTCAAAATATCAAATCTTTTTCGCCGCTCCGCGCACCCTGTCGACGACGCGTCATCTACAGGGCATTTACCGACCGCGAAACTCTTGTGTATCTTCACTACTCAGATTCGGGTTACCAGCGGGATTTGGTATGTTGACTTGTCACATCGTACCTCGCTGACTCCTCGACCTTCCACAGGATATTTGTGCCGTCAAACTGTATTCCGGGGTTGGGGACTGTCATTCGGTACGTCAACGGCCATTTTTTGAGTCTTCCAAATATAACGATGTGTCGCAGGCTTCGGCTCGTTCTCCCAACCGATGTTCCTTGGACCCTTGGCTTGTGCGCTCGTCACAGTGCCCTGTCGCACGGAACGTATGTCCTTTTAATAAATGTGTTGATCTGCGACTCAAGTCAGCATCAGTAGCAATATCCTACATGTATGCATTTTCTTTTTTTTTCTTCCCCCGCAGCCGCAATAGGCTCTCAGTAGTGTACTTCAGTCCTTGTTTATATTCGTAGTAGTCCAGTATACAATTTTACCCCATCTTATGTGTCTTTGAGCGGCTTTAAATTGTCTTTGACAGGGTCTTTCCCAAGACGAGTTGTGTCTTACGAGTCTTTCCCAAGACACCCAAAGACAATATGTCTTGGGGCAAGATTTCGTACCTAGCTTAGCGAAAGACTCCCGTCTTGGGGGAAAATGAGTCTTTGGAGTCTTTGGCGTCTTGGCCAAGACGCCAAAGACGCCAAAGCAAAACATGTAGTTTTACTGATTCGGACAAGGATTCGGACTGAAACAACTACTGGCCGATTGGGCTATTGTTGGTTGATCTACCAAAAATGTGCCTCTGCTTGAGCAGTAAGTAAAGGTATCAACTGATGGCTATTTTTCTGGGACTGTAGACCAAATTCCGAGCAAAATGAGCTTTGGGATCAGGTGATTTGACCGAGTGGTTGTTGAGATCCATAAAGACCAGACACAAAGTCTGTGTCCGATGGACCGGAAAGTGTTACCGGGTGGACCGGATTTCAATGTCCACCGGGCAGAATTTCCATTCTGGGAGGACAGGACGTATATACAGGCAGACCAAAATGAGTTTTCGATGGGACATCAGAGAAAAAAAAAGGGCTGACGAAAAATGTTTGACAAAGGGACCATAATATATTAGGGAATGGACATGTTCGCCTGGTCAGCCGAACACAAACCTCTTGGCTAGGACAGAAACCTCATTCCTGGGGACATTATTAATAATAGTACACGCAAAGATAATGGATCTGGACCCGCCCTGACCAGCAACCATCACTGCATTTTGATGGTTCCTCGGACCTAGCCTGGACCCCATCAGTCCAGGTTTGGCGAGGCTTTGCCGAGGTGCCTCGGCAAACCTAGACACAGCCTCTTTTTTTTTTTTTTTTTTTTTTTTTGGCGGTGCTTATTTGATTGTCTTACGGACCATTTTGGTCACCACGGTTCTTCGGCCTTGACCGGAGTAACCCCCTTGGGTCTAGGCTTTCGCCCCCTTTCGGGCCGACATCGTCGAACGGCACAATCACACATTGTAGTCGTTATCCGGGAAACGTGACCCGATGATGAGCGTGACTACCCGCCCAGGAAGAATGCTTTTAAGCAGACCAGTTTGGACATAAGCCCCTTTTGTAGGTGACTGCCCCTTATGGTACTGTGGGGCTCAGCTGACACGCAATACCCACTAAACTCCCTGGTGGTTTCTTACGGGACTTAAACCCGCGGCCGAAGGAATATCCGAACGGCGACCGGCGCATCGGCTCGGCCGGGTCACCTGGCACATCCACAAAAGCCAAATGACCCCAGAGGAATGGCTTTGCTGGGGTTCGAACCCTCGCGGGACCCAGGACTTCCAAAACTAATCAGAAGTCAGAGCAGGAGGTATAACCACTCCACCATCCTGCCCCACCTTCCGGGGACCGGTTCATCTTCATTCCTCTACCTCACCAGCCTCACCCATGGCCTTCGCCGCGCGCGCCCACCACCTCCTCCCATATGTCAACTTCCTCGTCGCCACCACCGCCCTCGCCTTCCAGACGACCATCCTCTACCCCTGGCACGTCCAGCTCGATACTGCGTTCCACACGCTCAAAGGAGAGCAGACGGAAATATTGAAGGGATACCATGATGCGAAATTGCGGAGGTTCGCTCAGCTTGAGGCGCGGATGAGAGGTTAGAGAGGAGGATGCAGGTGAGTTGGATCTACATCTGTTCTGAATCTTGGTTTTGAGTCTACACTGTTGAATTTGGAAGGCTCTCGATAGAGTGACGCCATGATGGCTGGGGTCCATCTGGCATCGACAATCACTAGGACTCTTTTGCCTACCGGCACAGGCGACAGATTCAGCTGCCTATACAAGAATAGGTCCGCGCATCTTGACACACAGAGATGAATAGATCAAGACTAGATTTAGAGCATGCCGGTTAGACGCATGGTATCCACGCACAATTCACAATTTAATCTACGGCCATCCATCCTGCTCGAATAAATCTCGATCTTGCGTGGTGGCCGACTTCTTCCGCAAACCTGAAAAGAGTAAAGATTACCGGGCGCTGCTACGTGAATTGGTTCAAACTACTGATCGGGCTCATGGTGCATGTCTGCTCATCTGGACATCGGTTTTCGAAGGATAGAGGCCGGTGCACGTGGTAGAGCTGGCGGTGTCTGCGTCGATAGAACCGAAGCATCTCTGTAGCGCCCTTTAGAGGCCCAACATCTACCTAGAGACGTCGTTCTACAGTGCATCCCTCGTTCTACCTGGCTCTATGGGGTGCCACCGACTTTTCTGGAAATGTCTCAGCCCTTCTTCAACCCTCTTAGCTTCCCTTCTGTCTTCTGCTCTCATCGTACACTTCAAAAATGGATTCCTCACACAAGGCTCCCCTTCCTGGACTTTGAAAGATGGCGCGGACCTTGACTTTGACTTTGTGGCGACCTCCCAACCCTTTGAGGATGGGGGGGAAGATTTAAGCTGGAACCGGGGATGCTTAAGCGCTGCTGTTCGGGTGGACTTTGTTGACACCTCTCAGCCGCTCGAGACGGCGAGGATTTCGGACTAATGGTGCGCCTCACGACATATTAACAGGACTCCACTTCTCACGATGCTGTCAGACACCACGAAGACAAACAACTCCGAGCAGCTTGCATCGCCAGCTGTCTCCGAGTCCACGAACACGCCGCTCGCGTCTAGTCAGACGCGCGCCGCCCATCGTACGTCAAGCTCATGTAGTCGGTCTTTTTTTGGTGATACCAGTTGCCCAGAAACCAAGGCCGGAAGGTGCCTCCCCGACCGCCGCCACAATCTCTGCGACCTCGATCGCACGCCGATCCCGACTAGTCAGGCGCGTCACCATAGTGAGTATGCCAGCACTCGGAATGGCTTTTCAGTTATACTCACTTTCGAGTCTTAACGCCGCAGAAATGGAGAGAAGACGTCAGCGTGCGCGCGAGGCCGCCCATCGTATCATGAAGAAAATTTGTTCTCTCGCTAAGACCACAGCGTGCCTCCGTCGCAGGCACCGCAAGCTGCGCGAATTTGTGGCAAATAGTGCAGATACATAGAATCCATTTGTTGTGTACTACACTAGACGCAATTAGATGTGTTTTCAATTCATAGATTTGGCCGAACTATTTTGGGACATATGTCGAGAAAAGCAATATTCACGGCTCATGGGTGTGATAATAATCGTCGGTAGCGTCTGGAGTTTTCAGCGGGGTGAACCATTCATAAGCCAAGGGAGATTGCGATTTGACTGGATAATGTGAGGGAGTTTGAAAATGACTTTGACCTGCGCAACACGGAGACCTGGAAAATGATTCAGTGAGTGTGGCTATCTGGAAGGAAAATTTGTTACTACCTTGCAAGGAAGTGCCCGCCGTGAATTGATTGGACTCCGCCGTTCTCACAAGAGCAAAGTCAAGAAAGCGGGTTCAGCTGCTTTACGATTAGTGACAGATGCTGGAATGGGAGCGGTTGCCCGAACAACATTGCTGGAGTGCCGTGAGCCAACCTCAGGAATTGATGGAAGCTTGAAGCTAATTCGCTTCCAGGTGCCAAACAAGTCAAAGTGTCGAGGAATAAAAGCGGATCCAGATTGGACAAGAAACCGAGACAAGGCAGGAATGAAACGGGAAGCAGCGTGTCCATCAGGCGAACTAATATCAGTTCCAGAGACTGCCGAGTCGCAGGGGGTGGGACTTTTGCGATAGAATAAGAATGTGTGAGGATTAAAGATTCGGAGTCGCCCTCAACGGCGGTGGATATAGGGATGCTGGGTATAGGAGGAGCTGACGCTGAAGTAGTGAGGGTATTACTAGATAAGGAAACAGATGCTGTTGGAGGCGGAGGTGGGGGAGCAGGAGGAGGATGTGCCCACTCGAGGTAGTGGCAAAACTGGGTAACAGCCTCTTGACGAGTAAGCCACTTCGTCATCTGGTTGATATAAACCTTCCGATTGCTAGCTCGGTAGGCATTTTTGGCGTAGTCGATGTGAAGGCGTTCAGGGGACTCGGTGTTAAACCCATCGGTACTGCCGAATAGACGAATTAATGGCTCGCAGTGATCAAGGGCGTGAATCTTTGGGATATTGAAATATTCCTTGCATCCACCAGGCTCGATGAATATTTTTTTATGGGCATGAAATGTGTCGAGGGTGTTCCGCAAGCTGAGAAGGGTTTCGGATGTGCGTGACTGGAGTGACGCGAAGTACGCGAAATCAATGAGACCGCGAGCTGCCTTGACCATCTCTGGATGAGCGCCAGCCGCGATGAATCCCAAAACGACCTTCTCCATTTCTTTATGTTCTGGCCTGGTCCATTGC